CAAATAGTTTTAGGTTGTGATTTTTTTTTTTATGAGTGTTGTGATTTTACTACGTGTAATTACGGTTATTCTAAACTTTTTACTAATTATAATATTGACAATGATAAGGAAAAAAAAGTGGTAAAAATATTTGAAAAGGCTACCATGATCACAAGAGTTAACTATCATAAAAAAGGGCTAAACTAATAATTAAAAATACTATCATGGTTAAAAGAAACAGACTTAGCTTTCAATACTTATCCATGATAGGGGGAAAAAAAAACAAACTAAAATATTTAATAAGTATCATGACTATTAGAGTCTTGCTGCAACACTTGCATGCCTTGGGCATTATGAAGCATAGAACATTATATTCAACCATAAGCCCACAAAAGGACATTTCCTGAATAATCCTCCTCTACAACTTTATATATATAAAAAAAGTATTAAACTATTTTCAAAAGTCATAGTGGACCCACGACTCAAAAACAAAAGCAAACACCTAGAGGCCTCCCGCCTTCTACTAGCATGTAATCCAACAATAATTTATCAAAAGTATGTACCTAAAATAACTAGTCTTAAATCAATCAGAGTATGCAAAATGGGCCATATGTGGTAATATACAAATATCCATCACATAATAAAAAGAAAGCTATATAAGATTAATTTGATTGCTAAGCCTTTGGTGCCTTCCCTGACGAACTAGCTCTAGAGCTATTACTTAAAAATGTTAAACTATAGGATGAGACAAAAGCTTCAATAACCAACAATCCTACTTATCAAACATATGAATAAGTACCGGTGATGTTTCAAGTGGGATAGTTACAAAAGAGCCCTAATGTTCCACCACCCTAAATCATGTGTGAATCACATCTAAAACTGATTTTAAAAACCAGTTTGCGACACATTCGCTATGGGTTAGGCACAACGAATCCACAGCCAATAGCACTTAAAAAAGTACCCTTTCTGCCAAGCCATTTGTTGTGGCGTTATTAACAACTAACTCATAGTGAATGTCACATAGACAGAAAAGACTCAATTTTAACAATTTATAACTAAGTTCACACCTTCCAAAAATTACAAATTAAGACTCTTTAGAAAGCTTGGGATGTCTATTTTTAAATTAAAAAAAGAATAACTCAAAGATAAGATCATTTTGGTCCTCCAAAATTCTTAATTTCCAAGACTGGTAAAAAAATGTCTAGGGTCATGCCTCCAATCATATATTTTAGTGCTTCTAAGCCTCAAACTTCTAAATTCAACTACTCAATGCATCAAATTTCTTACTAATCTCAACTTAATTGATTTTAAACCTTGAGAATAAAATCAAGAACATTACACTATGCTGCTTTCAACATCTTTGTCAGCTTTGTTGGTTTTGTTTTATTCAAAAACTTTCATCACTCTATGTGATGCCTTTCACTCCCAATCTCCCATGCGAGCTCAATCTAAGGAACTGGTCTTGGTTTGTTCGCCACACATGTATTTTTTTATTTAAGGTACTCCTGTTTGAGACATCATTAAATACTTAACATGAGCATTTCTTTCAACATGAATTTAAATCTAACCCCATTGGTCATTCTGCCATGTTGGCTTCATAAATGTTCATGCTAAGATCCTGAATGTTTTATTTCTTCTTTGTTTTTGGTTTTGTTATGAGCCAACTTCTTTATTGGGGTCTTTTGGGCTCGCTCTTAAAATGGCCCGATTTGAAGATTGATTTTTTTATGTAATCATTTTATGTGTGTTGAATAAATATATTTATAAGTTATACATGATACTCTCTTCAATTAATTTACAATATTAATTAAATCTAATGCAACTTGTGGAAATAGTTAGTTTGTGAAAATCTACGAGTATAGAGATAAGGGGGATATCCACTCGATGAGAAACATGAACCGTAAAAGAGGTTATATGGCGATCAAAATTGATTTAGAAAAAGCATATGATCATATCTCTTAGAGATTTATGTCGAGTTGCCTTAATGAAATTAAGATGCCTAATATGATTTTAAAAAAAAAAACTATCTTGTCTTGCATTTCTTTTCTTTTTTTATGCAAATCCTGTGGGAAGGAGATAAAGAAAATTGCTTCAGTCCCTCTCATGAACTTTGTCAAGGAGATCCACTTTTCCAATACCTCTTTGTTCTTTGCATGGAGAAATTGGGTCATATTATCTAGAACGAAATGAACAATGGTTGTTGGAAAGCTATTAAGCTTGGTAAGTCTAGCCCTCCTATCTCTCTTTTACTTTTTTGCTGATGATTTGTTGATTTTTGCAAATGCTAACCTCAAACAAGTGGAAGTCATCAAGAGTTGCTTGAATATCTTTTGTGAAGCTTTTGGACAAAAAGTCAACCAAGGGAAAACAAAAGTGTTCTTCTCTAAAAATGTAAATCACAATAGAGCGGCGCAACTCAATGAAGCACTTGGTTTTTCTCATACTGTTGAATTGGGGAAATATCTAGGAGTTTCCTTGCATCATGAAAAAGTCTCAAATATGACCTACCAATATATCATGGATAAAGTTAAAAGTCATCTTAGCAGTTAAAAAATCAACAGCTTATCTTTGGCTTGCCAAGGCACCCTTGTTCATTCTGTGATTAATGCTATACCTTCCTACACCATGCAAACTACTTATATTCCTAACAATATGTGCAATCTGATTAAAAAAAAGGTGTGATATTTTCTTTGGGGTTCGTCTGATGATAAAAGGAAGATGCACCTTATATCTTGGGATGGAGTCTGCAAAGTGAAACAATAGGGGGGATTAGGCATGAAGCACATCAAGCATTTATGATGAATCTTGGATGGGGCTTAGTTACAAAGCGTGGCTCACTTTGGCTTAAGGTGGTTAGGACCAAATATGGATGTGGGGACAACCTTATTCCTCATATTAACAAGCAAAGAGCAAGCTCAAATACATGGAGGGGAATCAAGAATAATTGGGATTATGTTGAATCAGGCTTACAAATGCTCTCTGGTTGATTTGGCCACACGAGGGCTCGTTGAAAGTGGAATAAGACTGGTTTCTTTACAGTGAAATCTGCTTTTCAATCCCTCAAACCCCCAAATAATCTAGATAACGGGAATTGGTAGAGTATCTGGAAAATGAAAATACTAGAGAGATGCAAAACATTTGCTTGGCTACTCTACCAAGAGCGGTTAATTATGAATAAACATAAATATCAATTTGGCTTGCATCAGAATGGCCTTTGCGATCGTTCCCATCAAGAAATGGAAGACGAACTCCACGCCCTTCGGGATTATGTTGATATCAAAGCACTATGGAATTTGACCATCAAGCAAGAACTTTGACATGGTTTTTTCTCTTGTAAACTTTAAGAATGGATTTGATTGAATATGAGAGGAAACATTGGAAAGATGGAAATGGAATGAAAATGCCTTTTTGTCATCCTTATTTGGCTAATATGAAAAGTTAGGAATGAATTTACTCACTCTAACATAGTCACCAACTTGAACAAAATGACGGCAAGAGCTCTTGCAATATTGAGCTACATGCACACTAGGATAAAAGCTTAAGGGAATCAATATTAGCTCTCCCCAATGCTTGGTGACCCAGCAAAATGAAGTAGACACAAGAGACAGACCAGAGGTCGACGGTGCTTTTTTAGCTTAATAAGGATGGATAGCGTGTGGGGGAATCCTAAAATTCCAAGACCACAACCTTGTGGAAGGCTTCATGTGCAACCTTGACCATGGTGATCACTTAACGACAGAACTCTAGGGCTGTCTAATAGGATTGAAACAGGCCTAGGATCGTGGAGAGAGGGACATTATTCTAAGAAGTGACTCATTGGAGGCTATGAAGCTCATCGTAGGAGATGACAATACGCTACACAACGACAGGGTAGTGATACAAGAAATCCAGACAATGATTGCATGGGATTGGCAAGTTGAGTGCCAAGTTATTAGTAGAGAAACAGATCAAATAGCAGACGAGCTTGCAAAGATCACTTTGAATGAAGCAAGAGGTTTACAAATTCTAAGTCCTAGTGCTGTGAAGACAAAGACGATGCTTCAGGCTATTACTTAATGTTTGTTTGTTTCCAGCTTATAAAAAAAAAAAAAGACATAAGGGAGGTATTTATTGACATCATCACCAATTCAGAATGCAGTGATGTTCATCAAATTTTATAATATTCTTTTGGTTCTTGTGAATTGTGAATTGATATTGGTCTTATATAAGATTTATTTGACAAATTTATCAATTTTTTTCAATTAACTCCATGGATATTCTTTTAACAATAATCAATTAGAAGAAGAAGGAAGGAAATTGAGAAAAATGATTAGAGTGTTTGAAAAAAAACATATCGTACTAACTAATTTAACTATTATTTTTAATTTACTCAAATTAATTAATTAGATCGATGAGTATTATCCTACCTTCAATACTTGATATAAGAGTTTGCTTGAATTTCAATTTAGTTCTAAATATAAGATCTCAATATATTTTATTTATCATATTTATCTATTTTTCTCAAAGTAGTTCTTGTAGTAATTGCTCATATTAAATATTTTAGCAAATGACACTTGATTAGCAAAAATATTTTAAAAATAAAAATATATATTTATTATAAATAACTACTATTTTTTGTCTTTTTTGTAATTTATAAACAAGATTTTATAATTATAATCAGAAATAATATTTAATTGATTTTTTTTAATCTATGCGGGAGGTAGCATTATCACACATCGTTTATATCCCAGCGCCGTTTATGGTACACGACAAATACTGAATACTGGACCACCTCGAATCGGAATTCCACGTTTGTAACGTTGCCATATCCCCTGTCTTGCTTTTCTTCACCATCACTTGTGAATGGCATCGGTCATGAGCTTGATTGGGCCCTTGAAGTTTCACCCTTTTAACCTCCAGTTTCACTGTTCGGTTTCTTTCTCGTTTCTTCTTCTGCTGCTTCTTCCAGACTGTGACTCCCGATTGAGGCTATACGACGTCGCTGCCCTCGTCTGCCCTCCCACAAGGACAAGGCCACCAAAACCCTTTCTTTTCCTCTATACTTGTCGTTTTTGTACCCCACCCTTCATTTTCTCTCTCCCTCTCCCTCTATCTCTGTCGCATCAAGCCTTAGAATTATATCGGATCTGGGTATCTTCTCTGAATTCACTTGCACACAGTGTTAAGCTGGAGTTTTGGTCTCTCTCAGAGACCGACGGATTTTAATGCTTTAGCCTTTTGATTTGAATTGATCCCTGATTATCGACTAGAAAAGAAGCAAAGCTGGAGCAATTGAAGACAATCGGTAGGGAGCTCGCCATGGGCTCCCAGGGCGGGTTCGGGCAATCCAAGGAGTTCCTTGATCTGGTCAAGTCCATTGGTGAAGCTCGATCCAAGGCTGAGGAAGATCGAATCGTCCTCAATGAGATCGAAACCCTCAAGCGTCGTATAATTGAACCTGACATTCCCAAGCGCAAGATGAAGGAATACATCATTCGCCTTGTTTATGTGGAGATGTTGGGCCACGATGCCTCTTTTGGTTACATCCACGCCGTTAAGATGACTCACGACGACAGTATCCTCCTTAAACGAACTGGGTATTTAGCTGTGACCCTTTTTCTGAATGAAGATCACGATTTAATCATCCTCATTGTCAATACCATTCAGAAGGACCTCAAGTCAGACAATTATTTAGTTGTCTGCGCTGCCCTTAATGCCGTCTGTAAGCTGATTAATGAAGAGACGATTCCGGCCGTACTGCCTCAGGTGATTGAGCTTTTGGGTCATTCCAAGGAGGCCGTTCGGAAGAAGGCTATCATGGCTCTTCATCGCTTCTATCAGAAGTCAGCTTCTTCGGTGTCTCACTTGGCCTCCAATTTCCGCAAGAGATTGTGTGATAATGATCCTGGTGTAATGGGTGCCACGTTATGCCCTCTATTTGACCTCATCACGAATGATGTCAATTCTTACAAAGATCTCGTCATCAGCTTTGTGAGCATTCTCAAACAGGTAGCAGAACGCAGATTGCCAAAGAGCTATGACTATCATCAGATGCCCGCTCCATTCATTCAGGTTCATCATTGTCTAAGTTCGTCTCTGATTCATAGTTGGTTCTTCTCTGATGCCAAGTCCGTTTATTTAAGTTAAAATGTGGATACTTACTTCTCGGGGTTTACCAAAACCACCCTTAGTGAGCTTGTTTTGTTCAACTTTTCTTGCTATGCATATCATTTTCTGCCATTTTTAGCAGGGATGCAATCTAAGATTTTTTAGCATGCATTTTTTTTTTTTTTGAATATGCAGATTAAATTGCTGAAAATCTTGGCATTGTTAGGGAGCGGTGACAAGCAAGCAAGTGAAAACATGTATACTGTTATTAGTGATATAATCAGGAAGGGCGATTCATCAAGTAATATAGGGAACGCCATTCTATATGAGTGCATATGCTGTGCCGCTTCTATATATCCCAATCCTAAGCTAATAGAAGCTGCTGCAGATGTGGTTGCCAAATTTTTAAAGGTCCTACCCCAATTCAATTTTATTTCAAGTTTATACTTTATAATATGTCGCATGGGAATGCCAGGCGTTACATATGTTATTATAATGTGACCAGAGTGACACTCATAATCTCAAGTACATGGGCATTGATGCCCTTGGTCGGCTAATAAAGTTAAGCCCGCAAATTGCAGAACAACACCAACTGGCCGTGATTGACTGCTTAGAGGTAAGCGTGTTTTTATTTGAAAAGGGGGTGGGAAAGAAAGCCAAAGTCTTCTGGATGTTGGACTATCTAGAGGATGATGAATATGTCAAACATATATTTTTAGCGAAACTCATTGTAGAAACAATATTCTGTGAAATCTTGTGATTTTTGAGATTTGATGTCTATAATCATGGAGACATGGTCTTTACGTGATTAAAACTGGCATTTGGGGGTTAGAAATAATTGCTGATTTATCTAGATATAGAAAAAACCAGATCTTGTTTTCTCGGGTCTATTGACTTGAGGACGAATTGTTATGGTAGATTTACAAATTTGGGAATTCCTATCCAATGTATGCATTAACAAATAAAAAGCGGTTAATCAAGTCAATAACTGGTCAATGTGTTTATAAATTGTCAACCATTCTTTCGATTTAATGTTAGTAAATTCAAAATATGTTTGCTTGGTCTTGTTAAAAAAATGTTTGCCATGAATCCTCTAGTAATCACCCCTGTAATTAAATTCCCTAGCCCTAGCTGTTGAAAATGACACTACTAAACATTTTGAAAGAATATTCTCAAAATAAATTAGACTTTATTTTGTTGTCATAAGCTCAGGTACTTGTGCTTTTTGTATGTGCACCAGCAACCTTTATTGTTTATATCCCTTAACATTACAGTTTTCAGTTAATTGGCTAGTTACATCTGTATATATAACTATGCTCCTTTGCAATTCTTGTTTAATTCTGATGTTTGATGCAGGACCCTGATGATACTTTGAAACGGAAAACATTCAAATTGCTATACAAGATGACCAAGTCCTCTAATGTGGAAGTGATTGTTGACCGTATGATTGAATACATGATTAGTATTAGTGATGATCATTATAAAACCTACATAGCATCTCGGTGTGTGGAACTTGCTGAGCAATTTGCACCCAGCAATCATTGGTTTATACAGGTGATTATGATTTCTCACTTTATATTCTTTACTTTGCTTTATATTTTGCCCTTGCCTTCTTTTATAACTAATAATGCCTGGTGCACTGATTGCACAGACTATGAATAAAGTTTTTGAGCATGCTGGAGATCTTGTGAATGTCAAGGTAGCACATAATTTGATGCGGTTGATTGCAGAAGGATTTGGAGAGGATGATGATGCTGCAGATAGTCAGTTGAGATCATCTGCGGTATGTATTTTGATAATTTCAACGTTTACAGTATACGTCTCTTGTAAAACATGCATGAGCATTGGAGGTGCATGTGCATATTATTAAACTGAACATGTTTACTGAGATGCAGGTGGAGTCATATTTGCGTATTATCGGAGAGCCAAAGCTGCCATCTGTGTTTCTTCAAGTACGTTCTACCCCAGTCATTGTACTTTGCCAAGAACTTTAATCTGTTGCTAGCATAATGTTAAATACTGATTACAGGTCATTTGTTGGGTTCTTGGGGAATACGGCACAGCTGATGGAAAGCATGGCGCGTCCTATATCACTGGAAAGTTATGTGATGTGGCAGAGGCATATTCTGATGACGTAACTGTCAAGGTATCAACTGAAAGTTAAATATTTACTAGTAAAGAAAAAGGGACTTGCTCCCTCAAAAAGGAAAAAAAAAAATCTTATTTATGTAAACTTTGCTTGTCATTTGAACATGCTATCTTTACAAAATAAAGGCTATTGATGTGTGAGCTTAGAGCATAATTTAACTGCATTCCAGTTCCATTGAAGAATCACTTCAGGATGAGATTGTCTTATCTCCTTTCTCTACTCTATGTTTTTTTTTTTTATTATTCTCTTTCTTTATCTCCCTAGTCCAACTAATTATAATTTTCAAGAGTCAAGTAACTTAGTTTGCTGATTGGATATATCATTCTTCTAATTCCTTAGTTTGCCGCTTGGATATATCATTCTTCTGATTCCTAGCAGACATTATGCATTATGGTCTATATTTATAGCTTGTGTATGGCAACGAGACGTGAACATTTGTTGTTTTCTGGGACAAGCACTGGGCATGTGCTTTTCACTTCTTTGCTTTATCTAGTTGGTTTAGGGTGCCATATCTTTATTGCAATAAATATTTCTGTGGACTCGCATCCAGTACTTCTATTGTGCAAGTTTGTGCTATTGTTCGTCTGATGGCAAGTAAACCAGTGATTCAGTATTCAGGGCCAAAAGAAGAGTCGTTCAATATTTATGTGCTTGATTCTGTATTAAAAGGGCAAAGGGTTGTGTTGCATTAGTGGTAGATGTTTTCCATTTAGACATCTATAAACTGGTCCTTGCAGTAGTGTCCATTTAATGGTTTCCAGGCATCTTTCATGTGTGAACTAACTCGCTGCTACTTGTGAAGGCATATGCAATTTCAGCCTTGATGAAACTTTATGCATTTGAAATAGCAGCTGGAAGGAAAGTGGATTTGCTACCTGAGGTATATGCTGAAAGACTTTAGGTTATGTAGCTTTGTTGTCTTGCGGGCTTTCTGTGATTGAAGTGGATAATTACTGTTGGAGTATCCTTGAAACTTTGATTATCCCATCTCTGTCATCACACAAAAGATTTAACCATTTTCGTTTTAGAAATGATTGCAAGTCTCAAGGCATTGCCATTTTTACTGAGACAACTATTCACATCTCATGTCTACGCAGATGGAGTATCATTTTTCTTCCTTCTTTTGATTGAGACGTCCAGTGTGTTAACACCGAGAAAAATGAAAACTAGATCTTAAAGTTGTACAAATTTCCTGGGGGAGTTTCTTTCTGAAATTATGTATGTTTATGAATTCTACAATGATTATTGCCAAAGAGACCGTCCTATTTACACTGATTATAAATAATTTCCTGTGTCAGCAGAAATTTTTTGAGTTTAAATAATCCTTTTGCGTGATTCTAGGCTGTTGGGAACAATATAAATCATGCTATCTCTATGGAACATTGATGCTGAATATGACTAACTACTTGTTTACTTTCAGTGTCAAACGTTGATTGAAGAAATGTTAGCATCCCATTCTACAGATTTGCAGCAGCGAGCCTATGAATTGCAAGCTCTTATTGGGTTGGACAGACAAGCTGTTGAGGCTATAATGCCTCAAGATGCAAGTTGTGAAGATATTGAGGTTATTGTTAATTCTCGAAACCTTCTGATATCAGTTCTATGTTTAATCATAATAATACTGCTTTTTGGTAGGGGAAAGCCTTAATAAACCATATTGTTGCATCCAGTGAATGCATCCAGAAAAAGTAGGAAATTATCTTACCAGGGTGTCACTAACTGCAATTTTTTTTTTCCTAATATCAATTTTAATTTTCCTACCAGAATTAGTTGCCTTGTTTTGTTTAATACAACTTGGAAAAGAAGGGGCTCAAATATCGTAAGAACAAGCTTTCAAATCTCAAAACAAAAGTTTTAACCTTAGCAAGGTAATGAACTAGGCTTTAAACTGCCCAGTGCCTAGAATTTGTTCCTTCATTCTTGCCTATAATGTCAAACTTTGCCAATGCAACAGAGCCTAACTTATGTAGACAAAGTTCTATGGGTCTTCAGAGCTTTGAGGCATCAAGTTATTTGACACTTTGAAATATTAGGCGATATAGTAATCTAAGTGTGTGCTTGAGAGGCGTCACATGAATACAATATTAATACAGTTTGGAACTGCTGAAGTATTGTTATTTCTTTCACACTTTAGTCTTTTAAAGCAAACGTGTACAATATTTAAAGTTCTTTCATTTCCAAAGGATAATTAAGTGCTTTTAGAGTTTACTTTGGCTTCAATCAATTAAATTTCTACGGTGATGGAACCTTGACCTCAATCTCCGGCTACTGGTCCCTTCTTGCAAAACTTCCCGCTCAAATGAACATGTCAATAAATAAATGTCTTTTCCATCCAACCATAGCAATAAAATCAAATAGAGAATAAATTATGGACGCTAACTACTACCTATAACTGAGGTGGGAAAAAGTTAAACCAAACAATCTCTAAATATAAAATTTTAATTTATGGCTTAAATGTTTGAACTACCTCATTTCCCTTAACTTTTTGTTTATTCCCTTTCCCTTCTAAAGTCTAATCTATCAGTCTTAAAATCTGTAAAGATGATTCTGAATACACGACTACTGCACTATCAAAAGTTGGATGTTGGCAGTTTTGGAGTCAGGTTATCCACTTATTGATATTTATTCTTTTTCAATAATCACCATAAATTTGTGGTGATCACAATTATTCAAGCCTTAGTGTCTGCAATCTTGAGCCCTTTTGAAGCATGAGTGATTGCTTAGACCTCTTTATCTTATCAAAGAGCATTCTAATGCATCAGATCTGCAACCGAACAGGATTATTTTCATCATATGGATTGGGAAATGAAGGCATTTGTTCAACTCGGATGTCTTCTAAATTCTATCGCTAATTGAAATCTGATGGGTATACAAGCTCAAATATGTATTATTCAACTGAAAATACTCCTCGACAGAATGTAGGTCATATAGAGGTGTACCCTAAGCAAAGAAAAACAATCCCTCACTTTGCATTCAGGAGGCACAGGTACTCTCCCAATTCACTCCTCAGACTTTTCTTACGTATACAACAACCAACCCTCCTGACATATACTCTAATTGCCGACTCAGAAATACCATAAACACCCACCATTCATGATCTGCACTTTTATTCAACATTGGGCTGTACTAAGTAAGCTCTGGCCCAACTCCAACAAAATCTTAACCAAAGAATTACTTGATAGGAGTTCAGTTCATTAAGTTCTTGGCCAAAAAGTTTTATTTACTCTCGATCAGGGCATCCCTATCAGAAGTGCATCAAGCAAGTGAAAGGTTGATTGTATGAAAATGCTCGGCCAGTATCTTACTCCCACAAAAAAAAAAAAAGCTGGGGGGAGGGGGGGTTTGCTAGGCCTGTGTGATTTGGTAACCAGACTTTCAGGTTAAAAGATGCTTGAAGGATAAATAATTGTATAATAGTTGCCTTGGTCACTGGTCGCCTACTCTTGCTCAAATATTATATCAGCTTGAGTAAATCTTTTCTCCAAAACAACTGTTTTCCAATCTAAACATGCTTGTATCTACTTTTTCCTGAAGAGAAAGGAAAAGATTTCAGCTTCTGTTCTGCCAGATCTGCATGTTCTAAATTTGTAGTTTGCTGATTATCCACTTGATTAATTTTATTTTCTCCTCCCCAAAAAAAAAAAAAAAAATCCTGGCCTCATTTGCTTGTGAATGACTTTCTCTGCATGACAGTCAAAAGGCTGTTCATCTTCTTTATATTAAGTTGAATTTTGGACCTTGGAACAATGTATAATATTATGTCTAAATTCTTTTTTCGTTTCTGTATTCCATTTTTACTAATGTTCTTATATTTAGGTTGATAAGAACCTTTCATTCCTCAATGATTACGTCCAACAGTCCATAGAAAGGGGTGCTCAGCCTTACATTCCTGAGGATGTGCGTGCTGGAATGGGTGATATGAGCAACTTCGGAGGCCAAGATAAGCATGAACCTTCACATCATGGACTGAGATTTGAGGCATATGAACTTCCAAAGGCTCCACCACCCTCGAAAGCTGCTTCAGTTTCAACAGCATCCTCAACAGACCTAGTTCCAGTACCCGAGGCATTGTACTCTAGGGAGTCCCACCAGATCTCATCAGCAGCATCAGCATCAGAAGCAGGATCATCAGGACTTAAGCTTCGGCTTGATGGCGTTCAAAGGAAGTGGGGCAGGGCAACATATTCATCTCCAACTGCATCTAATACTTCAGAATCTTCCCAAAAACCAGTGAATGGGGTGACCCCAGTGAATGGTGCAAGTGCAGTAAATTCAAAAGTACGGGATAGTTATGATTCAAGGAAGGCACCAGTTGAAATTCCTCCAGAAAAGCAGAGACTTGCTGGTTTATTGTTTGGTGGTTCGAGTAAGCCTGAGAGAAAATTATCAGGTGGCCATAAGGCTCCAAAGGCAAATGCCAGTGCAGCAGACAGATCTCAGGAATCAAAGGTTGCAGTTGCATCCAATGAAGCACCTGGAGAGAAAACTAATCATAAACCTCCTCCAGATTTGCTTGACTTGGGGGAACCAACTGTTACAACTGCTCCTCCTTCTGTGGTAGACCCATTCAAGCAGCTGGAAGGACTTCTTGACCCAGGCCCTGGTTCGACAGTAGATCATAGTGAAGGCGCGACTGCAAAAGTTCCTGATATTATGGCGCTTTACGGAGGGACAACCACTGATGAGCAGAGCGCAAGTGGTGGCTATTCTATCCCTGTGAGTGGAGAGGAAAATCTTTTATCTGGCTTGTCAAATGCAGCTTCTAAAGGTGTTGCTGGAGAAACAACTGTGACATCTTCATCTCAATCTGTGAAGGGTCCAAACCCTAAAGATTCGTTGGAGAAAGATGCGCTAGTTAGGCATTTGGGTGTGAACCCATCAAGTCAAAACCCAAACCTGTTCAAAGACTTGCTTGGCTAATCTTGTTATATAGACAAATTATATGTTGTGATGATTGAGGATAGATTGCCTTGTGACGTGCAGCCATCTGAGTTTCGTAAAGCCATTGGGGTGCAACAACTATCATTGTAAATTACGATCAGGCATGGATAATATCGGGCACCCAGAACAGGGTGATTCTTGTCCAGGAATAATACCAGGATCAGGTAGTCCTGTCACACTGCAGAATAACTTCTGTGGCAATCAAATTAAATGAGATTCTCCTCCTTGCTGCCCGGTTCTAGTCCAGTTTGAACTTATAATGCTACTTTTGTGCACGGTCATTGCATTTGAGTTTCTTAGGAGATGCCCACTTCATCTTTGTTGTTACGCCACTGCTGTATCTTTCCCCCCAATTTTTGTGCATTTCGCTTTGTTGATATATATTACTTATTTGAACATTGAGATACTTGACAATGCGGCAAATATGAGTTTGATGTATGACTTTTGTGTTCATGAAAATCTTATGGCTTATTTGATAGACGAAGGGTACGAAGGGGAACGGATTCTATTTTCAGTCAACTCATAAAAATCAAGATGTTCTGTATATCTGGTATGAATTTACTATCATTATTTCACAACAATTGCATCTTTGTATTAATTTTTTTGGGGGGTATTTTCTCAGGGTATGGGTGTAACTTTTCATACCTAACGTTCTTTATATCGAATGTGGAAGTGTCAATGCATTCCTTCATAAAGCATCACTGAGCCCATAATTGGCTGTATTGCATGGCTGTTATCCTGATAAACTGATGCTTGTCAGGTATATTTGCAGTGGTTCATCTTCTGATAGATCATTTGCATTCTTCCGTATGCCTTCAATATTGTTGCAAAAGCTTCAAAAGGTTCTAGCCATCACAAGGCAGTGCTAGTATGAGATTATTTTTAGGCCTTAAATACTCTGGTTGAGAGTGAAGTGAAAACCAGGGCATTTGCCCCTGTAAAAAAACTCATGCTGCATGGACATTTGGTTTGAATGAATTTTAATTATTCTGCCTGAGTTCATGATGTGATGGTAATTACTTTTTCAGTGAATCTATGACATGAAAGAAAATCACGCCAAACCAATTATGAAAAAAAACATTTGTGTGGTAATGTAAACTTACCTCTAACATCTATCTACAATCATTTAGTTTGATCTACCGAAATTGGTCTGATTAAGATATGCCCAATCAATAATGGAGTTCCTATTTTCAGGATTTGAATCATTCAGTGACATGATGTAAAGTGAATGTCATTTTTTTTTAATCGAAAAAATGGATGTCATTCAGCTTCTAGAAGTTGGGCTTTGTGATTTTTGAACGAAACTTTGTGTTGTCCCTATACTGCACGATATTCAAAAATTAAGCTATACTATTCATAATGCGATCTATTATAATTTTCACACGTAGTAGATGAGTTAGTACGGAACTTACAAAGTCTGCAATAGAGAAAAGTATAAGAAAAGAAACAGACATATGGATTACCTAAAACACAACGAAAGAAACAAACGGGAGATTGTCTTTGTTTGATGCCATGATAATAAAAGCTTTGTTTATTGTGTACGCGTCTGTTTCATTCTCTGGCCTCCCCCACCATCCTTTTCTCTTCTTTCTCGTGCGTCTGACTGTTGAACAAATTTCAGACTTCACTGTTGCGACGGCGCCACGCCGTCTCCCAATGAAAAACAACACACTCAGTTTGAAATAATGAGCATCAATTGATGATATAACGATAGTTTTTGATATGCTCGCTTATTATGTAAAGAATCCTTTTTATGCAAACATTGTGATATTTAGTACTATCAAATCATATGCGAAATAATTTATCCGATTGTTTTATGGTTCTATTTACAAAATACACATTTTTTAAACTTTATTTAAAAGGAATCGAGTTAAATTTTGGCATCCATCTTACATAACAACACAAATTATAAGTATGTTTATGTCAGTTGAGGCATCATATGGGCATTTCAAAGAAGCAAATGCTTGTTTGGAATGGCGATAAGACGTTTCAAAAGCAACTTTTCGATCATAATTTATAATATACCAAGTAAATATGTAAAAAAAAATTTGACTCAACTTATGTGAATGTGCTTATAATAAGCAACTCCAAATAATTAGGGCTTGTTTGTAGCTACTTATATTAAATGCTTATAAACACTTCATGTGAGTCAAGACAAAACTCATCATATTTTGTAAATCTCAGCTTGAAAGCTTTTTTGAAAGATCCTACAGCTATTCCAAACAAGCATAATCAACATTCACTTTGAATTTTCGGTAATTACAGAAGTAATTGTATATAATGTATTTAGAGAAAGAATAAAAAAAATAAGTGTAAAGGAAAAAAAATACATTTATAGTAGTTTTTATAAATATATATATCTTTAATATCATTGTCCCGGAGGGTATGAATATTAAAATGGGAGAATAACATAAGAGGGTCTCGGAAGAAAGTTAATCATTTTAAAGACTATGAATTTTCAAAATGATAGAAAATGATTAAATTTTTGTTTTAAAAAATAAATGGATTAAATGATTGTACGCATATTTCAATCGGAAATGGCAATTACAAATCGCGGAAGCTATTAATTGCGAATCACTTGTAAAATATGAAAGTTTTAAAAATCCTATAAAAGTTTAATTTAAAACTCATTTGCAACTAATGTTTCATTATATACACCTAAACTCTCAGTATTTAGAATTGAGCTTTCATATTTACAAAACCTTCAGACTTTATAACTCATTTCCTCCTATATTTGTAACTGCCCTCCTTCTCTGTCAGTTTGAAAAATTCATTAGTCTTTAAAATGAATAACTTACTTTCTATAATCCTCTTTGAGTAATTTTCCCCATATTAATTAAAAATTAGATATATGAACAGGATTTTGAATTTGATTGATGAACATCAACGAAGCTTTTTGGCTAATATCAGTGTATCTATCCTAATCATACGACCTTAACGGTGCCTCGTGTATCTATCCTAATCACGTTGGATCTTTTTCAATTAACTAACTACCCTTCGTTCGTTCTTTTGACATTCAAATCATTTGAATATTCAACTACTGAGAGGGAAAAAATCAGTATTAGTATTATATACATACGTGAGATTCTTTTGTTTTGTTTTAAGCTTTCTTTCATCAATAATTGAATATGTTTGACTATATTATTCATTCCCATCATTCTTAATCCCCAGACCCTTGACTTTTCATGCTGCTATATATATAAGATCAAAACAACACTTGGATAGATCTATTATTCGAAACTCGCCAAGCCAAATGAATATTTATTATTATTAACCATGCAAAGTCAAACCTGAACATATACAGTTTATCTAATTATTAGTAATCATGAACATGTGTGTGTGTGTGTGTGTGTGTAGAGAGAGAGAGAGAGAGAGATCAGAATCATCATTCTGCTGAATACAGAATAGCTGTCATGGATTTGGAAATGGACGGGCCCTTCTTAAAGCCACATCGAATTAAACGCATGTGAGACACTTGTGCTTCTTCCATGGATCTCAGAAATTAATGGCCAAGGCTAGCCTAATTAAGAGTGGGGACTGATTCGTCTCAAGACTTTGTAAGTGTGATGTGTCAGGCCAAGAACAGTGACGTGTGATGGACATACGACCAAGTTCATGAAGCTGCATGCAAGGTGGCCACGTGTTGCCATAAAGAAGAAGGCAGTTTCATTGATGTGAGTTTTTCCCTGTTAATGCATATGGCTAAAGTTAAAGAGAGCTCTTTCTTGATGTATCAGTCCAAATGAAAATTTTAAAAAGTCCACAAAGAGAGGGCTGTTTCAGATCATTAATATCTCAACAGTCACAAAACTAGCCTCCCGTGAAAGTGACACGTTTCTCTACAACATCCTCGTTTAGGATATCAGACACTTCTGTCAAACAACTCCATATTCAATGTCTGTGTTCTGAGCTGGACACCAAGGATAATATATATATGTATGTATCTGTGTGTGAAAGTGATGGAGGAACAAGTAGGGTTAAGACAGTCAGCGAGGTTTTGGCTGTTGGTTGAATGTATTTTCAAGGATGGTAGTTCATGTTAAGGCTATCGGTGAACCCAAAAACACAACAAAACTGTCTGGTGTGTGTGTGTCTGGGTGTGTCCTGTTTAGAGATGGGCAAAGATGTAATTTAGATATATGATTCATTGTTAATAGTGTTCACCTTCGTGTCTACTTTCTATATACACATTTTAGCAACCTTGTTCATTGAACTGACTCTCAACTAATAATGATTAATTGTGTATCTGTATTATTTGTACGTATGGTTGGAATAAAACTCAATATGGTCATCATATATATGTGCATACACACACACACACACAATATACAAATTTGTTGACAATATTTAATTTGGAAATATTATATAATATTTATGAAGGAGGTTATATATGATGGTTCTCAGATTGGATGACATACGTGTTGAGAGGCTCCATAGATCTCTTGTCTAGAGAGTATGACTTTCATCAATGATCTTGCAACTTAGTGGCATGGAAACTTTTCTATAAATAGAAATGGAAGATCACATGCATGTTTAATATCACTTGTAATTTCAAAATGTTAGTATCTACCTCTCCAATTTAAAGGGAAAAAACACACAGAGAGAGGTATTATGCTATCTGGAGAGCAATTCTTTTCAAAATCTCAAAAAGTATTGAGTTGAAATCCCATTTTAACTAAGGATTCTTGTGGTTTTGGAGGATCAACTACAGGAGAACCGATAATGGAGAGCGACTTTCTTGTTATTCATATGAAATAGGGAGTTTGTGCATTTGAATGTTTTGATTAGAATAGAATGAGAATCTGATTAAGTTGGGAATAATTAAATCCAGAATGGATGATAATTCTTTCATATTTAATATTAAGACAAAGAATTTTTCACCTCAGTATTAATCTTAAACTCGGCATTTATATAACTCAAATAAAATAAGGCATCCTGTGAACTAGGATATGCGCATTCTTTGAAATCTATTATTTTATTAATTTATTTACAAATTAAGTTCACCTAAACTTTTGACTTATTGGATCATAAAAGAATAGAATTGAAATTTTAATATATTTTTTCTTTGATAGCATAACTCAAAAATCAATTAACTCGGTCAAATAAAAACAAAAGGAGAGGAAGATAATTCAAATAGGGTTCCCCACAAGAATTATTCTCATTAAATTAATCAATACCGTGACTAATATTTCTTCACTGAAGAAAAAATGGTGGTTTGTGGAGGCTAAGTTACTTTGATCAATATGAAGGGGTAAAGTCTAGAATATGTGCGTGTCCATGACTCCTTTTTTTTAATACTACAATAATTATTTTTGAAAGTCAAATTAAAAGATTTAGCTAATTCAGATCAAGTCAAACCAAATTAATGCTGCATAAACATAAAACTTTATTATTAATAATTTTCTGCTCATATAAAAAGTCTTATGTAAAGTGAGATTGTGAGTTTGACTTAGCTTAAAATATCAGATCCTTAGTATTTGCCTTTTTAATTCCAAAAGTTACTCATCTTGAAAATTTAAACTTTTTAATTGAAGTAATAATGGATACATTATGCGTGAAAAAATGCGAAGTAACCATTTTTATTCTTATTTTATGAAAAAACTGTATATTATATTGTAACTAATAAACGAAAATTATTAAAATGATTTTTAAATGAAAATAATACTTGAGAATGATACATTTATTAAAATTATTTTCAAATGAGATGGAAGAAAACGACAGAGGAACAACCATCGTACAGGCGTGAAACGGCGGGACAACATGGAAATGGTAGAAACGACATGTGTTTGGATGTTAGGAAGCTTTGAGTTTGATAGAATGGCAACACGGGCAATGCACCCTCTAGTTTTCAATACGTGTTTGGAAGATGGGAAACAACTTGAATCTCCACAATTATTTATTTAGCAACAACCAGTTCCGTATTTGATTTTGTTTCTTCACTTGTGTCATTTTTCCCACAAATAATGTACTGTTTATATATACATATATATAGCAATATTAAAAGAAAAGGATCGGGAAGAAAACAGAGTATGTGAATTGAACTTAGAGAATGAAATATATTTCCTTTTGCCTTGCGGCAAAATTATGTATACAAGCTTAGATGAATACAACAATCCAATCTCTAAGAGCACTTTCCCTCAATATATATGAAAAATTAAAACTCAAATGAACCTAAAAGAAGGGAAAGAAAGGGGGGGAAAAGGTAAATGATTAAATTAATATTACTATCTGCTCTGGCTAGAAAACCTCCTTTGTACAGTTGACTTCTCTGTTGTTTGTATGCTAATAACCTTAGGACTGTCCCCTTTGGGTATCCTTTGGGCCAAAAAGAAAAGGGAAAGGATTTTCCCCTCCCTTTCCAACTTACGGAATTCTTGCTCTTTTGGTATATAACCAAGCCATCATTTGTTTTCTTAGGAAAGTTGAATCCATGTCTCAACCTCGAAGCCTTTTTCGTTTCTTGTTTGTTTCTTTTTTTTCTTTTTTCTTTTTTTTTTGGGGATCATATCAGGAATCTGATAAGCATGTTGTTTTTCTGAGAATTCAAAATGGTTTTTTCACTTCTTGGAATATAATCTGATGGGTAAACCATTCTGGGGAAGAGCAAAAGGGCCATATTGGATTCCATTTTGTGCACCAACCATAGACCATCTGCATCAAAACAAAGTATACATTAGTTAAGAGCTTATAAATGACTCTGGATTTGGAATCCGTTCATTGGTGAACAGTAGTTTTTAAAAAAGGAGACTGTCAACATTAGTGATGATGAGAAGATTACAAACCTGTACTTCGTAGTTAAATGATGCAGAAGCACCAACATCTCCAACTTGGCTAGTTCATTTCCTGGACATGCATGGGTCCCATTGCCAAATGGCATGAAAGTATTGGGCTTTGGAGCAACCTGGCAAATCATTTGCAAAATATGTCAAAATCTGGTAAGGTTTTGAAGTTGGAAGAATGCAAGAAATCACTGACTGAGGTTTTTTCAGAATATAATTACCTCAAATCTTGAGGGATCAAATTTCTCTGGCGCTTTGAAGTTGTCTGGGCTGTGGTGAATGTTTCTGAAAAGTGGCAGAACTTTCCACCCCTTAGGGATAAGATACCCTGTACAAAACAAAATCTGTGAGCAAAACTAAAACCAGAAAAGAAATTTTTGGGTTGACCAAAAAAAATGTCATGAGATAGATTTGTCTGGTTACTGACCTTCATATTCAACATCCTGCACTGCTTCTCTGAAAGTGAAAGATAGAATTGAAGCAACTCTTAGAGTCTCCTGAATAACCCTTGAAGTTACAGGCATCTTTTTAGTATCTTCCCAGGTCAGACCCTTCTCTTTCCCATTTTCCTCCTTCCTATTCAAAATAGACTCTTGCTCTTCCTGCAAAACCAGAATCAGAGAGAGAAGTTTCAGGATTAGTGGACCAACCAAACCCACTTTTCTAATTGATTTTCCTTTTTTTTTTTTTTTTGTTGGGAGGGGAGGTCTTAAAAGTGTAGGACCCAGATAACTTACTGTGACTGCTTGTAGAACACTTGGGTTTTCTCCAAGGTACTTGACGATCCACGTAAGGACACTGGCTGTGGTGTCACGAGCAGCGAAGATGACGCCAATTATGTTATCTGCTATCTGCTCATCAGTGAGCCCTGCTTTCTCACCCATGAATGAACCCAACAAGTCGTTGTGTTCTTGCTTCATGGTCCTCCTCTTGGCCAGGATTTGAGCCAAGATCTGAGAAAGCTCCTTCCTTGCTTTCATGGCTTTGTGAAACAGTGTTCCTGGAATGTTAATGGGCATTGAGTTGTACCCTCTCTCCAGAATGTAGTAGCAGCGTTTCAGATCCTCTCTGTATAAAATCTCATCTTTTCCAAATATCGAGAGCAAGGCAACATTGAAGGTGAACTGCAAGAGAATATTTTCTTGGTCAAAATAGAGTAGAAATGGTTGAGTAATTTGTAATTACAGTCATATTTTGTTCTGGTAAAATGGGTAAAAAATGAGGGAAACAGGGGGAAGGAGAACCGGGGTATAAAAACCCATTATTTTATTATTTTCTAGAATATTGTAGGAATCGATGAGTAATCACAACTTGGTGATACCTATTGATAATATCTAATATTATTCTGCTAAAAAATGAAGGAAAAAAAAAAGGAAGAGAGAGAGAGAGAGTGTGTGGGGGGGAAAAAAGCGAGAAAGTGGGGAAGCAAAACGCAGAATTCGGCTCTGTTTTGCTCTGTTCCGTGTGCTTACCGTTTTCATTTCTAGGAAAGTGGTGATCAATTGACCATCCCAAGATTTGAGGCAATCCTGGGCAATTGATTCAATGTTGGGAATCATATTTCTGATAGCCTCAGGCATGAAGGTACGAAGCACAAGCCTCCTCAAATTAGCATGGTACTCTCCTTGATGAAAGAATATAGCTTGTTTTCCCAACATCCTCTCTTTACTTGCAGGAAATGTCGGCTTAAATAACTGAGCTTTGTTAAGCACAAATTTTGCAGCTTCAGGACTGGAAATCATCACACAGGGACAACCCAGAATGTGGGACTTGAAGATTGAGCCGAACCTATAAGAAAAATGAAATTTTTATGAGCAACCCTTTTTAAAGGGTGAAAGGAAGGTCCTAATGGACAAGAATGGTATTCTCCAAAGTACCTCTTGATTTTGCTGGCAAAGAACACATTCGGGTCTTGAGAATAAAGTTGAAAAGTTTCTCCTATGTAAGGCCATCCCATGGTTCCTGGTGGGAGTGGCAATCCCTTTCGTTTGGAATTCAAGGACTTGATGAGGGAATTGAAGAGAAAGATTATCAGAAAACAAGAAAACCAGCAAAACATGGTGCTGAATTCCATGCCTCTGTAATGATTGGTTTAGGAGGAAGGAGGAGGAGGAGGAGGAAGAAGAAGGAAGTTGTGTGAGAGTATGTGTGAGGAAAAACAAGTTGAACAAAGAGGTATATATAGGCTGTTGGCGAGTAAATCTCGTGAGATGAAGTAACGGGAAGAGGGGGGGAAAGAGGTGCGAGAGGCTTTCAGATACAGCTCAAATCCCACACACGGAATCTCCCTCCAGCTCATGTTTCTTTTTTTGGGTCTAATTTTAATTCTTATTTCTATCGCTTTGAAAGAAGGGAGAAGAGAGATAAAGAGAAGGCTCATGAACAGTGAGCACGTGTCACTTGAAGCCAAAGAAAAAAAAACAGTAGTGCAGGGGTATTATAGTACATAAGAGTTTGGTTGACCGTGTGAAAGCTCACTAAATGTCTCTGTTTTTTTTTGAGGGTGGGGGGGAATGAAACAGTCATGATCATTCTGATGAATCATCAAACATCCAAACGTCCCTTAAGCAGAGACAAAACTGAACTCTTGAGAGAAAGCAAAGGCCTTTTTTTTTTGTGGTTACTAACATCCGTACAACGTCTGTTTGCTTACTGTTCCTTTGATAATAATAATCCTTTAATTGTTTAATCTTTGATACTAATTTGTATACTAATCCTTTTCCTCTTTTCAATACCTTTTTGCCTAACCCACCTTAACTCGTTTTCTTCGTACTAATTAAGACATTCTCATAAAATGCAACTCCATGCTTAGATTTTTACCTGTTCTTAACCTATTTTTATATGGTCAGGCCAAACATTACCATTTTTGGACATAATGTGAGAAACTAACTAACTTTAGTTTCGTGGGTGTTAATCTAGGATTGGCTTTATATGGGTTCGATGATAAAAGTTTTCTTTTTCTTTTTTTTCACTTGCTTGAGGAATTGGGGTGTGCTCTTAATTTGAATACTTTTCAACCATGTGATGAGTAGGTTTTGCAGGTTTAGGTTGAGTCTTTCATTAATGAGCTTGGTGCCCACCTTACACTAACCTTTTTAATCCCTGCATTACAAGCTTAGATTTTTTTAAAAAAAATAACAAAATTAAGGTTCTGAGAGATTTTTTTTTCTATTTATGAGTTTTTTAAAAAAAAATTCTTAACATCAATGTACTATTTTACTCTATGTATTATTTTATAAATTGTTATTTTCTTAAAACATGTTTATATTAAATAAAAATACAAGTAAAAAGTTTTTAAATTTTTAAGCAAAGTTAATAAGACTTAAATTTTTTTTAATTTCAATAAAATATGTTGAAGGTAACTTATAAATATAAGATCATAAAAGCAAACAAACAACTCCTTGCACTTTTTTTTTGTTTGTTTAGTTTTAAGTATTGTGACGGTGAATTGAAGATAACTTTTAGAAGTAATTTTTTCCTCAATGTAAGTTCGAATCTTTGACTTTGTTTGAGGGCATCAAGTTTGTTTCATTTGATCCAATTATTACTAGTAAAATAAAATATTTCACGAAAAAAAGTCACATATATCTTTTTTATTGCATTTTATTTTATTTTAAATTTGACTCCTTACTGATCCGAGGAATTTTCCAATGATTCCAATGTACGAACTTCTTAATTTTTTTAAACGAATACTCTCCGGTCCTTATTATAAGACCAATTTGACTTTTTATTTGGTCCTAATTATAAGACCCAATCCATTTTCTCTCTTATATTTATACATTTTTTTCCAAGATAATCCTTCTAATAATGATAGTTTTAGCCAATATACTTAATTAGCAAGGATATTTTAGGAATAACAACACTTATTTATTATAAATAACCAACTCAACTTACTTCCTTAATCTCCTCAAATAAGTCAATTGGGTCTTATAATTAGGACCGGAGGAGTATTATTTAATCATCAATCTTGATCAACAAATGGTAGTTAGCATACAGGAGAGTACTTCCTCTGCTCTTTTTAACGAAACCAAGTTTTGAGGGTTATAAATGTTTTCCTTTTTATAAGATGTTTTTCAGATAAATTCCTAATAAATAATTAAATTATAATTCAAGATAATATGGAATTGTGCAGATCATTTGGCAAAACGAGAATTAAAAAAAAGGTGAAAATAACTTTTAAACATCTCTCATAAATAGAAACAAATTACATTCAAAAATTGTTTCTTATTAAAAGGAAGGGAGAGATATTTAATAAAATTACGGAACTAAATTAAAATCTTATGCAAAATTAAAGAAACAATCTTTTGGCACAATTCAGATTCAATGTTTTAAAAGTCGGACCGGGTACTAACCTGGAAAAATCAGCGGGTCACGGTTCTTTCGGTTCAACCGGTTAGACCGTCGATTGAACAGTTGATATAAAAAATAATTTAAAAATAATATTATATACATATATACTAATATATAAATAAAAAATATCATACCAGGGAATAAAAAAAAACCCATCAAATTATCAATATACTCCTCGGGTCTTAAATATAAAACCTTTATATACACTAGTATAAGGGTATTATATTTAGAATCAGAAGAGTATTAAGTAATACATTAATATTTTAACACTTTAGATTAACAAAAGAATAAAAATAAACACATGGAAAGTTAATTTTAAATATAGAACATCTAATTATAAATTATTGTGTAAACTTCTATCAAAAAAATATTTATAGAATATTTAATATTTATTCTTTAACTCGTTTGGAAAAAAAATACAGAACCTAATTATTAGAAAGGGAAAACAATTAAAAAGTAACATTTAATAATATTAAATTATTTTATAAACCCCACCGAAACTTTGATCCTGCTGGTCAAAAAAAAAACCAAAAGTTTGATCTCTTCCCCTCTGTTTCTCTGCGAAATCTCAAATCAAATTAAAGCACCCACGTGGTGAGAGAAATCTGCCAAATAATAACCCTATTTGTCCTATTCTTTCCTTTTATTTTGAAGTTGAAAGTTGAAACTATCGTCTTCAAGCATCTTCCTTCTGTGTCTTTCTCTTGTTGAGAAATACGCCTTTTGCATTTTACTCCGCTACGCACTTTATTTTGCTGGGATCTAGACATCTAGTGGTTTTAGACATGGATTTGAAGATCTGGGTTAGTTATTTGCTTTCTTATATTTCTTTCCAGATCTTTCTTACCTTTTTACTTTCTTTTATGTTTTCTTCCTTGAAAGTCATCATTTCTTTCAACCGTCTGGTTTTAACAAATCCGCTCGATTTCCGGCTTAACTCCGGTTTCCAGCTTAAATACCGGTTTTGAGCGGTTCAAAACGGCTGAACCCCATAAACGGTCAGACCACATTGAACGAGCCGTAAAAAACACCGATTGACGGTTAGACCGGTCCAACCGTTTGGTTCAGTTCGGCTTTTAAGTCATTATTCAGATTAACCTCAAATCACTTTAGACTTGAGACTAATTTTTATTGTGTTGGGAGCGTATCATTTACTACTTTAACTAACAATTTGTTAATAAAATCTTTTACTTTTTATGAAACAATGGATATATATATTTTTACTTTTCGGCAAAGTATCCCATCTTTTTCACGTTTCTCATTCAATCCACATTTTTATGTTTTTTTTCCCGGCCGAAATCCACATTTTTTTATGTTAGTTACACCGAATTTTGCAAGAAAGTACTAATTCAGGGATTAAAACAACTTTAGATTAATGATATCATTTTCCCCCAACTCACTTGCTTCTTGTTTCTTCTTACTCTCATGTGTTTGTAGTTTTTTTTGTTTTTGTAAATTTCCTTTTCTAATCGAATCCGCCGTTTTGCAGAATGGACGTAATTAAGATAAGATCACATCTCTAAATAAGTATATAACATCGTTAATTTGTCAACGATATTGATCGCATAGATTTTCAATACCTTTAATTATATCAGGAGATGGGTTTTTGCCACGTCGCATGAGGCCACGTGATATGTGTCAATGTCACAGATTACATGCATATTTCAAAATCACAATTAAAACAATACAAAATAATTCCAACTTTTTTATTTTTCCCCCCCCATCACCATATATACATAAAAGTAGCTAAATAAAATCGATGTGCCAAATACTACCAGCTATATATATACCAGATGAAGCAAATTGGAATCTGAGAAAAAATTAAAATTTTTAAAAAATGATTTAGAATATATAATATTGTTAAAATTTTATAGTACCAATATTATTGTTGATCTTTATAGTTTCATCAAATTTTAGTTTTGGTCCTTGAAATTTTGAAATTGTAATTTTTGGTCTTAGAGTTTCATAAGAATTTGATCTAAGTTAAAGTTGTTAAATAAAACGATCAAAACAATAACTCATTAGAAGTAGAATCAAAATAAATCAAAACTTATTTAGTATTTATATTTTTAACGAGTTTTGATTCTAATCTTTATAGTTTTGACAAATATTGGTTTTGGTTATTATTTTTAACAGTGTTAATTAGAAGTTAACGTCACTAAATTAGACCAACAAGTAACAATGGTATTAACCCAATTAATGAACATAAATTCAGTCCTCCACATTAATAACAAAAGAATCTGCTTTGTCTATGTATATATCAGATGCATCATTGACTAGAATATAATGATGATGAGATCTTGTTTTTGAAATTTCATCATTTGACTTCGTATAAATTAAGATTATCCGAGGATCTCCTTGGTGTGTTATACAATAATATATACAAGGAAATAATTAGCTTCCTAGTCTAATTGCAATTATTATTTAATTTATTAATCAGATATGATCAACTCGTGCGATTAGATAAATTAGACTTAGATGATTTTAAAAGTCACACACTACTACTCTTCAACCTCAATTAATCGCATCTTCAAATTTTCTAAAAGACGATGTTTCTCATGTTATTAGGTTTTTGAAATTTCATCATTTGACTTCGTATAAATTAAGATTATCCGAGGATCTCCTTGGTGTGTTATACAATAATATATACAAGGAAATTAATTAGCTTCCTAGTCTAATTGCAATTATTATTTAATTTATTAATCAGATATGATCAACTCGTGCGATTAGATAAATTAGACTTTGGATGATTTGAAAAGTCACACACTACTACTCTTCAACCTCAA